CAGGACCACCAGGGGCGGGGCTTTTCCCACAGAAAGAATGCCCAGCAAAATGAAGGATAGATAGTCTGTGAATGTCTGTGATTCTTCTCGTCTGTTGCAAACATGGTTTGATAGGCCAGAATATTATAACATATTTTGACTCCAATGGCCTTTCCGACGGCCAGGCCAATAGCCTTGCAGACCTTCTGGCAGCTTTGGCCCAGGCGAGCTGTGCAACAAGTGCACCAACAAAATCAGATCATATCAGATCCCTTCAGACTCTGAGGTTCCGGAGTGTGATGGAAGTGGATTTCGTGCGATTTCTTCCGGGGTTTTCTGAAAAGTCTATAAAAGTTCTGATGATGTTGCATTTGTGTTGAAAATTTGAAAAACATGAAAATCCAACTGGGGTTGAGTTCCATCAGCGGCTGGAACGCACCGAAAGCCGAGGCCTACCGCGCAGTACTGGAAGCCTTCTTGCAGGATGGGAAATATACAGGTGCAGCACGCAGCAAGGGAGTTCATACGAGTTCACAGCGATCTCAGTTGGCAGCGAAAGCCTGACAAACAACAGGCCTGACTGCATCCTGAAGAGCTGGAGTTCCAAATGAACAAAACAAAAACATTTGACCATGAACCTCCAAACACACAGCTGTGTACCCAAACGCCTCACCAATTGTTGACTTTGAGACCACTGATCCTGGATTCTAGATCTGACCTTGGAGCCCAGATCCCAAATCCCACGCAAACATCCATTCATATAATATATCATAAATCCCCATTCTATTTTCATAATATGCATATTATATCCCCATGATATCTTCATTTATTATATCTTCATAATATTCCCAGAGCATCCCAAATCATTGATGCCGCAGATGCATTACCAAATTATATTATATGCCCATACATGGTTTGGGAATACCGTCAAATGTCTTTATCCCCATATATATTATATAAATTTCCATAATTAATATATATATATACACGTATATATACGTATATATACGTATATATAATATATATATATATATGTATATATTATTTGGATTAATATATCCAATATCTTGGTACTCGTAATGTCTTCATAATATCCCCATGTGGTGCTGCCAGCTCTGCGGCTGGTGCCTTTGCCCATGGTTACGAAGATGGGCACCACAGTGAAGCGAGTCCTGATGTCTCAACCGCTGTGGAGTGCTGTGCCTTGCTACAATGGGACGCAGCCAGATGTGTCAATGGGGGATATCCCCATGGTGAAAATGATGTTGTCTGTTTTCGTTTTCATGGGGGAAAATGACACGCCAGTGTATGTATTTTGGGGTATCCTATTTTCAGACACGTCAATCATGGTTATGGGATGTTATGGGATGTTATGAGTCAACATGGTCTGAAGACCCACAGATTGTGGTGAATTCATATCAATTCCACATTACGAACCATCCCACTCCATGTGACTGGGACCTATTTTGATCGATTTTCACATGATTTTCAGATGATTTCAGATCCCAAATCATTCCAGAATGATCCCAAAAACAGAATCCCAGATGCCACGTGGCTCACAGGTAGCCTTGGCCTTGGCACAGCTCAGCGGCAAGCAGCAAGCGCAGCTGAGAGAATTGAAGGTGGAGCTATGTGCCCAAGGCGGAAGTTCACGACATTTCCATGTTGAACATCGTGAAAAGCAGCATTTTTGTTCATTTTCTCCCTAGATCATCCTAGATCATGAGTATTATCATTATCATATACCGTAATATCCTATTATATTGACTGTGAAATTCTGGTGTTGGAAACATCTTTCCTGAGGCCGGAAATGAAATTTCTTTACGTCTTCAAACTAAATAAAGACCAGACGTTCAACATCCACAAACTTGGCGAGGTGCTACAGCGGAATCGCTGCGGGACACCTTGAGTAGCAAGGCCTCCATGGATTTCAATGGATTTCCATTGTTTTTTTGTTCTCTCGATCATGTCTTTCTGTGTGAATGCAGAAAACTTATGCTTTGATGTTGAAGATGATAATATATATAATATAATATAATATAATATAAAATAAAATAATATATATATATATATAATATAATATATATATATAATATAATATATATATAATATATATAATATATATTATATATATATAATATATATAATATATATATATAATATTTAATATATATATATGCATAATATAATATAATATAATATAATATAATATAATATGACATTTCAACATTTCATGAGATTTTGTTCTCCTTGCCACCCCCAGAAAAGACCAGTTGTCCGCGGAGGTGAGTAAGACCACTGGGTCCTTTACCATTGACAACCAGCGTGGCCGCATCCCTATGCGGAAGGAGGGCTACTCCTGGTGTCGTAGGTGCCGCGGGTTGTTTGGCTTGAAGTTGGTTCAGTTTCCAGCGACTCGTGCAATATTTGAAGTACAGTCATCCTGAAACATCGTTCTTTTGACAAAACAGCTTCATTGTCAAAGCTAAGAGATCTTGAAGGATCTTTTGGGTAGATATTTTCGAAGCAGAGCAACGTTTTCAGAACATCTCTTGACGTCCACTGGCCCTGCAAGTGTCGACAGCTGACCAGCTGTACCCTGAAGGGACAATGATCAAGATGCACGGCTTTATCGTCTTGAGGCCCTACTCGGTACCAAATTTATGATCTGGTTGGCCAGCGCAACAAAAAACTCAAAAAAACATAACGAAGCAACTGTTGATGGGTTATCCAAGCCCTTATCAAAATGTAGTCATTTTAGAGTGCACCCGATTTCAACCATGATTTTCCTGAAACTTGGGAGCATTGTTCTGCCATGATTTGTAACTGGATTTTGAATTGTATCTTGGAGAGTTAAGGCCTACTTCTTCAAATTTTTGTATTTTGGATATGTCTTGGTTTGTTGTGGCCACTTATTGGAATCACGCTTTAATGGCTGGAGCTGAATTGTATTGGCTCATTATTATATATTATTATATATTATTAATTATTATTATTATTACTCTACATTGTCTATATCCATATATAATCATATATATATAATTCTAATCAAATCTAATCCAAAATGATTGTCATAGTTCGTTGGAGCCATCCAAGACATCTTGGAGCCATTGCATTTGGAAGGCCTTCATCTTCACACAGAGAGCCGTGGCGAATCCAAGTTGGGCATTGTGATTCCATGCATGGACGAGTCATGACTCATCAAATGTCAAGTTGGATTACTGTCCTGTATATCTGTTGCAGATTGTTACAATGCAATGCATTGATGCAGCATATGTACCCTAACTTGGACCAACATGGGGCATGATCAATTGTTGTTTGGAACTCTTAGCGGTATTCACTTCTTGGCATGTGATTCGCATATCTCCAACGTAGTTCGACCAAAGGGCCGCATTTATTTTTGGCTTAGTTGTCCATGTCTAGTGCTTCTACCATTTGGTATTTTGGAGTACTCGTGAATCGCGTGCTCCCAGTTTTTAGAAACGTTGGAAGTTCGAAGCAACCCTGGGGGCATTTCGCGCTGTCCGGATCTGCAAGTGGCTGCTGTCATTTGTCTTACTTGTCTGCAGTCATGTGTAAAAAAGAGCACAAAAACAGATGACAGATACCATAGCTCCATGATTGTTGGTTTCAAGTGGGAAACTGCAAGACCCACCTCACCCACCTCACCCAACAACCGTGTAGCAATTCCTTGTTCTACAAGACTGAGGTGTCGCCACAAGTATTAAAGTCGCTCTTTGCACTTTTTGAGCACGTACTTGTGAGATGTTGTAAGCAACAAGTACTCAGCGCGAGTGCCACGAATATCCAAATTCTTTGTGTGGGTGAATTTGAACTTTGATCAGGCACAGAAATGCAATCCCCCTACTTCTCCTAAGACCCTTGCTGTTGCTTCAGGTTTATGCCAAGACATTTTCAGTGGAAAGTAAGGAGCGCAGCTGCCAAGATTGGAGCTGGGTACACAAACACGGCTTCATATGTTTCAATGTGAGTGTTGATATAGTACTATAATTCAAGGCCTTGGAGCAACCGCATTGTTGAAACTTCAAACTGTCGTTGCGGCAAAGGGAGAGCTCGGAGAGCTGTGCAGGTGGAGATTCCCGGATTTTGTGCGCCGTGCTCCGCTGCTCCGCCCCAGGAGATCAAAATTGATACTGACAAGATGCTCACCGGGACTCAGGCCGTTTTTTGGGAGATCTCACGGAATCCATGCGACAGGAAATGACAGGAAACAAGGAAGGGATCAAATATGTCAAATATGTGCATCTCATATTCATTCCATTCATTTCATATAGTTTCATAAAGTTTGATAGATACTTGATGGAAGTTATTGGTAATTGGTGGGGTTCTTGTTCAACTTTTTGTTCGACGCTTCCAAAAAGTATGGCACTAGACTTCATCAGATGAGGTATTCATCGGTGGCTCTGCTGGTACAAACACCAATGGGGCAGAAGAGGAAGACGTGTCTGCTGCCCAGCGACCGATGCTTCTGAGCAGTTTGCAAGACAGTGAGACAATAAAGTTGTAGGAACAGTAGTTACAGTACTCAATGCTTCCCTGTCCAAATTATGAATCATAATATGATACAGTAATATAATAATAAATAATATATATATAATTATATATATATATATGTGCACAGTTTATGATATTTATGTTTGCGTCCCTCAAAGCAATGCTTTGATTGCAACCCTCTCATGTCATATTATGATTACCTTCTGTGGCATGGTTGCAGCCGACAGCTCTCAGCCCAACTAAGCAACTGAGGCTAAAGGAAGTCCACTTTCAACTGAGACGTGTTGAGGCGCGTCCCCTTTGGCGCTTGGATGACCAACTCATGTAGAGGTTGCGCTTGGCACTGAATCTTTATTTGGGAGGTTACCTTGAGGATTCACAGCAGAATACTCACAGTGCTATACACCTGCGAAGTTATTATGCCGTAGAGTATGAAGTGATTAGTCCTCATGAGTTCACTTCCAAGCTGGAAGATGGATGAAGATGGTTTCCCCTGGCAGGATCTCATGAAAGGTTCCCCCAGACCAGAGGGTGAGACCGTGATGGAGGCTGGGGATTGGCACGGCTTGAACCATGGCCAGCAACATGTGGAACCTGTATCAACCGAGGTAGCAGCCTTCATGGTAGCCCAGGGCGCAAAGGTAGTAGCCGTGAATGCGGCCTCGGCTTACCAGGCACTGGGCACCGTTTGAAGCTTGCGGTTGATCATATTGATTTGGAAAATTTGGAAGTCAACATGTGGTTGACCAAAATGTTCACGGATGTACCATGGGTTTTGTACTGCAGCTTGGTGCTTTTGGATCCTGTCGCTTTGGTGCCACTCCAACATTCACGTAGACCGGGGACCATGGACTTCGTACGGCTTCGTCTGGCTCCACGGTAATGCAATCAGCATGTCCTGCAGGTTGGTGGAGGCTCTACCACCGGCGGTCGCCATGCACTGGAGGAGGAAACCGTAGTGCAGTGTGAGGGATCCGCTGTGGCTGGGATGTCACCATGAGAGCCTTCTAGTTGGCAACTGCTTGCTACAGACCATGTGATTTTCGGCCTTTGTCACCTCGAGGCGTGGTGTATCAGTTCAACCTTGTACCAATCGCTTGCATCAGTGGAGCCTATCAAAGGACGGGCGAAGAAAATGGAAGGGTGAGAGGCATGTATTGACACAAGCTTTCGAATTCAAGACCAGAGTTGTTTCGGCGGATGAGAAATTAAGCCACAACACTACGGGACCCATGGTCGAATGGTGGTTTGTCAGCATGACTTCTTCCATTTTTGTGTGTACCTCGACGCTGGTAGACACTCTTGAGATCTCCTGAGCAAACCTCGGTAGATAGACGGCTTGAAGGGTGAATTAATCAAGATAGGAAAAAGAGACATCAAAATCATCAAAGCAAGAAACCAAGATGAACAAGAGTGGGAACAGAAGTTGTGGCAGTATCAGCAGTGCCAGCACCAACACAAGAAGTAGTTAGTACCACCACTGCATGACCACAATGACGGTGGCCACGGCCACGACATTGTTGACAAAAGCAGCCACTTCCACAACAACGGGGCTGCAGTGTCAATCCTGCCTAGGAGGCTTTCCTGGATATCGACAGCACGTCCCTGTGATGGGGTGCCGTGAAAGCATAAGGGAGGACATTGTTGGTAGGGCTCTGTTGGATAGGATCAACTTGAGAGCCTGAGAGCTGTGGACCAAAACCACCGTTCTGCGCATCACAGTTGAAACAGGGGCCATGCTCTAACCTGGAATCTCGCATAAAAAGGCACCAATGCTTCGTGGTCGATGGCCCAGTGTCTCAGACACTGTTGTCATCTTTTCTCCATTTGGGTATTTTCTAAATTGGAGCCGGAGCGGTATACTAAAATTGAAATAGACGATGTTTTGATATTTGTGGATGATTTGGCGAAGTCCTATTTTAGGAAACAGCGACTTGGGATGACTTGGGTATGTGCTCGGCACGAGAGCGGTTCAGGGTTCGTCTGTGCACGTCAAAAGTGGGTCGTTTGTGCACGTCAGACGGTTGGTCGTCTGTGCACGTTTTTGTTGTGTGTTTTTGTCATTGTATCTCTGTAACATGATTCTTCTTCTAGCTTTTTTTTAAACATCTCAAGAGCTGCTTTCGTGTGCCATTTGGTGGAGCTGCTTTCGTGTTCTCTCACTGAAGTTCACCCAAGTTCTTTCACAGAACTCATCTCACAACTCACACAACTCATCTCACACAACTCCACTCATCTCACAACTCACAGAACTCGTCTCACACCACTCCACTCATCTCACAACTCACACAACTCCTCTCATCTCACAAGTCACACAACTCATCTCACACAACTCATCTCTCACAACTCATCTTACACAACTCAACTCACTCAAGAGCTGCTTTCGTGTGCCATTTGGTGGAGCTGCTTTCGTGTTCTCTCACTGAAGTTCACCCAAGTTCTTTCACAGAACTCATCTCACAACTCACACAACTCATCTCACACAACTCCACTCATCTCACAACTCACAGAACTCATCTCACACCACTCCGCTCATCTTACAACTCACACAACTCCTCTCATCTCACAAGTCACACAACTCATCTCACACAACTCATCTCTCACAACTCATCTTACACAACTCAACTCACTCAAGAGCTGCTTTCGTGTGCCATTTGGTGGAGCTGCTTTCGTGTTCTCTCACTGAAGTTCACCCAAGTTCTTTCACAGAACTCATCTCACAACTCACACAACTCATCCCACACAACTCCTCTCATCTCACAAGTCACAGAACTCGTCTCACACCACTCCACTCATCTCACAACTCACACTACTCGTCTCATCTCACAAGTCACACAACTCATCTCACACAACTCATCTCTCACAACTCATCTTACACAACTCAACTCACTCAAGAGCTGCTTTCGTGTGCCATTTGGTGGAGCTGCTTTCGTGTTCTCTCACTGAAGTTCACCCAAGTTCTTTCACACAATTCATTTCACATGAAAGAGCAGTGCGAGGAAATGCTCTACAGCAAGAAAGATGATGAGGTTGCTGTGCGTGTGCAGGCATAGGAACATGAACCTTATTAACTCACCCCACCCCATCGGTAACTGATCATGAAAGAGCTGTGCCTGTCTCTGCTCTTCGGGAAGAAAGATGATGAGGTTGCTGTGCCTGTGTGTGCATAGGAACATGAACGTTATCATCCCACCCCACCCCGCCCCACCCCCCCCCCACCCCACCCCCCCACCCCCCCCACCCCACGGGTAACTGATCATGAAAGAGCAGTGCGTGTAAGTGCTCTACAGCAAGAAAGATGATGAGGTGGCTGTGCGTCTGTATGCATAGGAACATGAACCTTATTAACTCACCCCACCCCACCGGTAACTGATCATGAAAGAGCTGTGCCTGTCTCTGCTCTACGGGAAGAAAGATGATGAGGTTGCTGTGCCTGTGTGTGCATAGGAACATGAACGTTATCATCCCACACCCCCCCACCCCCCACCCCACCCCGGGTAACTGATCATGAAAGAGCAGTGCGTGTAAGTGCTCTACAGCAAGAAAGATGATGAGGTGGCTGTGCGTCTGTATGCATAGGAACATGAACCTTATTAACTCACCCCACCCCACCGGTAACTGATCATGAAAGAGCTGTGCCTGTCTCTGCTCTACGGGAAGAAAGATGATGAGGTTGCTGTGCCTGTGTGTGCATAGGAACATGAACGTTATCATCCCACCCCACCCCCCCCACCCCCCCCAACCAAACCCGAAATGGCTGGTTCCCAGCCTCAATGTGCGCGGATGACCGCTCTTTGTGCGCGGATGACGCGGTTTCTCTGTGCGCAGATGACTCGTTTGCAATGTGCGCAGATGACTCGCTTTCAATGTGCGCAGATGACGCGTTGACCCCACGAGAGCCTATGGTTTGCTGCGGGGATAGGATTTTGCACCGCGGCTTCAGGTGCATCATCTCCCCTGCAGTGCAGGTCTTCAGGGAATGCACAGGTGGGATTTCGCAGTGGATGCTTGGCAAGCGCTTCAAACAGTTTCAATGTGCTTCAATCATCTTCAATCATCTTCAATCATGAAATAATGAATCATGATGAATCACAATGAATCAGAATGTACCATGACGCCTTTTACATCCCTTTATCATCCTTTATCCCAGTTCATGATGTTCATGAGCAGCACCTAGGCAAAGCAGAGTATCCATGGTGATCCATCAGGTGACTTTTCAAGGGACGCTCATGCTATCTGATGCTGATCCAGCTGCTTTGCCTCGAAGCCATTTTTGGGTCAAACCAAACAGGCTCTCTCCTTTGTGGTCGTCAATAGGCGTCAACGACCGCATTGGTGAGAACAAGCCTGGACATAGCAGCTGTACTTTCTGTACAGGCTGAAACAAGTCGTTCTCCGACCGGTAGCAGCTTTCTGAACGTTTCACCGCTTGAAAGACTGTGGCCGTAATCATGTCACTTGGCGTCGCCGTTGTGTTATCCAAGTCATAACAGGCAAAGGAAAAGATCACAGACCCTGGGAATTTTCTTCAATAGAATGATCTAATCTAAAATGATCTAAAATGATCTAAAATGCGTAAAATGGGCCTGAGCTTCCACTCTACAGGGAGTCTTTGGATATAGGGAAGATCGTATTGCTTTATAGCTCCACGTTCCTAAACCCCAAAAGAACCAGAGAGTCGTGGGCAACATCAAGGCAGACTTTGCAGCTTGATCCTGGGGCTGAGGTCAACTCCACAAATTCCAACATCGTTGTGGCAGAAAGCCGCCAGAGCTTTGATGAGTGATGAAAAGAAGGAGGACGATGCAGGCCACTGATGGTCACTCTGATGGCCACTGCCCGTCTAATGTACAGGTTGCAGCCATTCGGCGCTCTTTACTTTGGTCGCAACTTTTAGGTGCCAACTCGAAACAATTTCCTGGAGCCTGCAGGCGAAGAGAACAAGGATGACAAGAAAGCTGCCTTGGAGCAGGCAAAACCGGGCAAACCAATTCTCTCTGTGCTGCAAAAGTTGCAAGTGCAGTCAACATCGTTCGCACCATTGCATCGATGCAAACACACGGATATTCCTTGATCGGGTATTTGAGGATACACAAAGAAACAGGCATTATTAGGATGTGGCTTCTATGTGCAGTCTTTGTCGATTGTGCATATTTACTCTCAGTCAGAGCAAACCTTGATGCTATTATCCTGACTGGTAAACAAGTCTTACGTTGTTGCAGTTGTGAGAGTGCGAAAGCTGCTGGAAAGGAATAACTCACGAATTAGCTTACGGCGTAAGTTTGCAGCCCGGAAAGAATTGGACACATTTCAGCGAAGATAGCAAAGATCGCTCAATCATTAGTTGCAAAGTTATATGTCACCCATTGTCACCCTATGTTACCCTTTGATTTCCTGTGGAATCTCAGCATTCTCAGCTGCCAGGCCATCATGTCCTTGAAGCCTGATGGTCCTCCCAAGATGATTCCTCCCAAATTCGGCGGGGGCCTCGGTCCCTTGGGTCCCATGGGTCCCATGGGAGGTCCCATGGGTCCCATGGGTGGTCCGCCCGGTGTTGGTTTCCCACCAATGCCCGGGATGCCTGGGATGCCCCCCATGCCGATGCCGGGCGGATGCCCGCCACCCATCCCCATGAAGTCCTCGGGGGCGCCACCACCAAAGGCAAGCATGGCCTTGATCCCAGCAACTTGGCCGGGCACTCTTTGGGCCAACTAATTCACCAATATTAAAATATTAATTTAATATATATACATATATAAATATCAATATAGTTATATATATATATATACCGTGTGTATATATATAGATAGATAGATAGTCATGTAGTAGTATTAGTAGTTGCTGAGTTATGAAGTACATGGACATACACTCTTCTTCAGATTTCGGGTAGTTGAAGCTGAGGAACTTAGGGTTCTCTACATCAGCATTAGTGCATCCTATGTGCATCCTATTTTAGATGTGGTGTTTTTTCTTCCACGATAGCACTGCGCCAAGGCCAAATCCGCCTCCTTAATGGGACCTCCAGGTGGCAAAGATGATGATGACGACGACTCGGATGACTCATCGGATGAGGAAGGTGGAGCTGGGCCCAATCCCATGATGATGCTCATGATGCTGAAGCAGATGCAAAGCTCCATCAAGCAGAACATGGCCAAGGCTCCACCTGAGATGCAGGAGCAGCAGAAGATGCTTCTTCAAATGTGACTTGGAATCGAAGATCTTTTATCATCTTTCATCGTTGATATCTTTGGACTTAGAAATCTAGATCATCTTGGAACTTTCCTGATTTCAGCTCAATTGGGTCTTTTCTGAAGTCTTTTCTTGTGCTCAGATTCTTATCGATTTTTCATCCTCTTTTGAGTCAGAACAAGTGCCAAGGCAGCAACAGTTCGAGATGACTCTCATGCAGAAGATGGGAATGGAGTCTGGTGGTTCAGCCCCATCGGACATGCCAATGTTCCCACCACCTGCCATGGACGGAGGCTGCGGTGGCTGCGGTGGTTTTGGGGGTTGTGAGCCCAAGAAAGATGCCAAATCCTCACTGCCGGCTGCCTTGGCCAACAAGCAGATGCTCGACACATCGAGTTGGGTCAATGAGCCAACCTGAACGATTTTATACGTATTGTTAAACATAGGTAAATGTTCGTAAACATTGAGAAAACAATAATGATACTTTCTGATGTGATCTTGTAGTACTTTGTCCAGATCACCAACCTGATACTCGTACATATACACGAAAGACAAGAGTGCCAGAAGACTCCGGTACAGAAAGACAGGACATGCGCAGGACCTGTGCAGTAACAGGTGAAACGGTGGAATGCTCCCTTTTAGTCCATTTCTTGGGTCCTGTCCCCCTTCAATTGCAGAGGAGGGAAAACAAAGCACCCAGAAATGAACCAAGATAGAAGTTAAAAAAACATGTTTCAAGTTCCAACACCTCTTGTTATGCACTTCATAAATCTCTGTCTTGGGCATTCAATTGCTGTTCCAGGGGAGATTGTTTTGCCAGGTTCCATATACCTGTCGTGACTAAATCTATACAGTGGTGTCATGTGGTGTCCCAATGATTGCTGAATTCTGCGCCAAGGAAAATGGACGCCTCCAGCAATTTACTGAACGTCGCCTCCTCCACCGCGTCTTCCGCCGTAACTGGGCAGAATTGGCCACCGGACGAAGTGACCGCAGGTTGCAGGGTAGAGGCTGTTGGATTATTAACTACTGATTATCATCACTGACTATATATATTGCCTGATGATTATCATTAGTCATTAGTCATTTTTGATTAAAACAGCTGCAGCTCACAGTTTAGATGGAATTTATCAGGTTCTTCCACCATAACATGTGACTCACGTGCCGCGTGCAGGCAATGCCCAACATGGGACTACCAGCGGCACAGGCCATGGCAGCAGCTGGTGCATCACCAGCCACTGGGACCTTTGAGATGTGTCTCCAGAGCACCAAAATCGGCGCCAATCACTAAGGGCTGGGAAAAACATGGAACGTCGCCAGTAAAACATGTTGTTTCTATATATGTCTTATTTGTTTTTGGTGGTTTTGTCCAGTCTGAGAGTGCGGAAACCAAGGAGATGCTTCAGATGATGCAGCAGATGGGCATGGGATCAGGCTATGTGGACCCATCCCAGAAAGGAGTCAGGGCCTGGTACAGCGAGTGAAGTTTGTGGCAGTTGAGATTGCACAGTGATCGGTGGTGAAGCAATGCGGGTGCATTTCAATGCCTTGCAATGGGCTAAGTGAATGTTGATCAACTATTGAAATGAGCGCTGGACTGCTGTTGGGCTCATGGTTCCTCCTTTCATCTCCTTTCCCAAAAGAGATGACCACTGAGATTAGTTGATCTGTTAGAAACCTATGGAGAGCAATCTGTTTAGATATCTTTACGTATCCTCATCATTTGCTACCTCCTACCGTCTCCTACCCATTTCGCTCACCATGGTCTTACCATGGTTGACTCTCAGGAGCAGTGGAAGCGCAACAGGTTGCTTAGCAGCACATTTTTCGGGCTTCGAGATGTTTGGCGATTTTTGTGGGTGTTGTATGGTGTTATACTATCCAAACCTATCCAAACCTATTGAGGATATTTGTGGATCATCCACTGGGACACAGCGGATTTATTGGTGATTGGATCAGGAAATGGTAAGCATCTATGAACATCGTCGAACCAGCTTCCTCATTCCATAATGTACATATATATATACATATTAATAAATGCTATGATTACATGTTATGAACATCATATTAATATTAGATAATATTAGAAACATATAGATATTGAATGATATTGATCCTCTTAAAAAGTCCTCTTAACATCTAAAACGGTGTAAATCAGTCACGATCCGAGGAAGCCCTGGCGCAAGCGGCCCGGGAGCTGCAAGCTGCGCAGGAAGCCGCACAGGCGCAGCAAGCGGCTTTGGAGCCACTTGGTGGAGGGTCACGTTGAACACCGGTGAAAGCAGTGGTGAAAACAGGTGAAACTCCCATGCTTTCTATGGTGATCCGTGGAGCTCATGGAAATTTGATCAACTTAGGCAATTTTCCGTGTGAATACTGGATCTTTTCATAGGACAATTTGAGTTTACTTTATTAAAGGGCTACGCCCTCTGCCGCCGACCCCTGGACACTGGAGGGTCATGCCTGCCTCTGTGTCGTAAGCATGAAATGAACTCTAAAGAAACCAGAAACTGACTTAAACAAACCATTTGTATGAAAGTTGAAATCAAAGAACCTACAAGAAAACTAGCTGTCTGAGCTGTCTTCCTGCCGCCAAAAGCCTCACAAACGGCGCCTTCACCACACCAAAACAGCAGGGCCCTGAGGGACGGACCGGGCCTGCGGGCCACGGCTCTCACTGCCTAACGTTGCTTTCGGAACCTACAAGAAAACTAGCTCTCTGAGCTGTCTTCCAGCCGCCTGCCTAACGTTGCTTTCTGAATCGACAAGAAAACTAGCTCTCTGACCTGTCTTCCAGCCTAGTGCCTAACGTTGCTGTCTGAAACCAGAAGATCTCCTGGAAAGCGCCCGGCAGGTCGCCAAAGGACACGCTGCTGGGCCGCCAAGGGCGCCGGGAGACGTTTCGGTGCAGCCGAGCGCCTAACGTTGCTTTCTGAAACCAGAAGAAAATCTCCTGGAAAGCGCCCGGCAGGTCGCCAAAGGACACGCTGCTGGGCCGCCAAGGGTGCCGGGACACGTTTCGGTGCAGCCTAGTGCCTAACGTTGCTGTCTGAAACCAGAAGAAAATCTCCTGGAAAGCGCCCTGCAGGTCGCCAAAGGACACGCTGCTGGGCCGCCAAGGGCGCCGGGAGACGTTTCGGTGCAACCTAGTGCCTAACGTTGCTTTCTGAAACCAGAAGAAAATCTCCTGGAAAGCGCCCGGCAGGTCGCCAAAGAACACGCTGCTGGGCCGCCAAGGACGCCGGGACACGTTTCGGTGCAGCCTAGTGCCTAACGTTGCTTTCTGAAACCAGAAGAAAATCTCCAGGAAAGCGCCCGGCAGGTGGCCAATAGACACGCTGCTGGGCCGCCAAGGGCGCCGGGACACGTTTCGGTGCAACCTAGTGCCTAACGTTGCTTTCTGAAACCAGAAGAAAATCTCCAGGAAAGCGCCCGGCAGGTGGCCAAAAGACACGCTGCTGGGCCGCCAAGGGCGCCGGGACACGTTTCGGTGCAACCTAGTGCCTAACGTTGCTTTCTGAAATCAGAAGAAAATCTCCAGGAAAGCGCCCGGCAGGTGGCCAAAAGACACGCTGCTGGGCCGCCAAGGGCCCCGGGACACGTTTCGGTGCAACCTAGTGCCTAACGTTGCTTTCTGAAACCAGAAGAAAATCTGCTGGAAAGCGCCCGGCAGGTGGCCAAAAGACACGCTGCTGGGCCGCCAAGGGCGCCGGGACACGTTTCGGTGCAACCTAGTGCCTAACGTTGCTTTCTGAAACCAGAAGAAAATCTCCCGGAAAGCGCCCGGCAGGTGGCCAAAAGACACGCTGCTGGGCCGCCAAGGGCGCCGGGACACGTTTCGGTGCCACGTTTCGGTGCAACCTAGTGCCTAACGTTGCTTTTTGAAACCAGAAGAAAATCTCCAGGAAAGCACCCGGCAGGTGGCCAAAAGACACGCTGCTGGGCCGCCAAGGGCGCCGGGACACGTTTCGGTGCAACCTAGTGCCTAACGTTGCTTTCTGAAACCAGAAGAAAATCTCCCGGAAAGCTCCCGGCAGGTGGCCAAAAGACACGCTGCTGGGCCGCCAAGGGCGCCGGGACACGTTTCGGTGCCACGTTTCGGTGCAACCTAGTGCCTAACGTTGCTTTCTGAAACCAGAAGAAAATCTCCAGGACAGCGATCGGCAGGTGGCCAAAAGACACACTGCTGGGCCGCCAAGGGCCCCGGGACACGTTTCGGTGCAACCTAGTGCCTAACGTTGCTTTCTGAAACCAGAAGAAAATCTCCAGGAAAGCGCCCGGCAGGCGGCCAAAAGACACGCTGCTGGGCCGCCAAGGGCGCCGGGACATGTTTCGGTGCAACCTAGTGCCTAACGTTGCTTTCTGAAACCAGAAGAAAATATAGAAAATCTCCAGGACAGCGATCGGCAGGTGGCCAAAAGACACGCTGCTGGGCCGCCAAGGGCGCCCGGACACGTTTCGGTGCAGCCTAGTGCCTAACGTTGCTTTCTGAAACCAGAAGAAAATCTCCAGGAAAGCGCCCGGCAGGTCGCCAAAGAACACGCTGCTGGGCCGCCAAGGGCGCCGGGACACGTTTCGGTGCAACCTAGTGCCCAACGTTGCTTTCTGAAACCAGAAGCAAATCTCCAGGAAAGCGCCCGGCAGGTGGCCAAGGGCGCGGGGAGACGTTTAGGGGCAGCCTAGTGCCTAACGTGGCCAAGGGCGCCAAGGGCGCGGGAGACGTTTAGGGGCAGCCTAGTGCCTAACGTTGCTTTCTGAAACCAGAAGAAAATCTCCAGGAAAGCGTGGCAAGGGCGCCGCGAGGCCTTTGGAGGCAGGCTAGTGCCTAACGTTGCTTTCTGAAGCCACTAGAAAAGCTCTTGGAAAGCGCCCAGAATCCTGGAAAAGCTTTTTCTCGGGCGCGCTCCCCCTGCAGATTGCTGGGGTCGGCGGATTACATATATTTTGGTTCGGTGCCAGCCACAAGTTCCAACGCCAAAGATCAAAGATCAATAAACATGTTGATTTCAGTGTAGTTCAACAACTTGGGAAATGACACGCAATCAACCTGCAATTCGTACGTGTGGCACCGTGGTTGGCTCGCGATTGGCGGCCGATTGATACTTTTCTGGGAAAGTCATTTTCGACAACCAATATAGTATGGTGTTTTTAGTTATTCTGCCCATTCAAAATGGCCATATACTGAGAGTAAGTCGATTTTGGACAAGCGCAGATGAAAGAGGTCTGAACATGTTCGGAAAACCAACAAATCCCATACAGTAGTTTGATAACATGATTCTCCACATTTTTTGGGGTTTATCATGGTATATCTGCATGTCTGCGCAAAGCGGGATGGGATGGCAAAGAGTTGGACAATCAGCAGAAGATGTACAGTTTTGAAGTACCATGACGGTATATGGGTTTTGTGGGTGAACGTTTGAAAACACAGCGCGGATTTTGTTCATTTTTCGATGTGGTAGCTATTCTTATCCAATGAATCTGAATTTGTTTGAGCCCCAACCATCTCTGTTTGAATCAACAACAAGCTTGTATATCTTGTATCAAGGCCCTACAAGCAATGGGATCTCTGCCATGTTGGAACTCCAACAATATCAATCGCATTGAGAGAACGCAGGGGTTCCAGCCCCTTTCATTTCAATACGCTCTGTTGTCACTTGAGCAGTATGCCAAATACTGCCAAATACCTTTTGGTTGATGATTATATAAAGGGCCTAAATATAAGGATACTATCCAATATATTGTGGGTTATCACAATCCACAGACAGTACCAATCAGCACAAAGGGACTGATTACACAGGATTTTGAACATTGCTCAATCGACTGTATGGTGCTTTCTTTCGTTCCTTCCTTCGTTCGTTCTTAATTCTTGCGTTCTTTTTTTTTCTTTCTTTCTTTCTTTTTTTCTTTTTTTCTTTCTTTCTTTCTTTCTCTCTCTCTCTCTCTCTCTCTTTCTCTCTCTCTCTCTGTGTAATTACACGCAGACATATTATGTATATAATTGTAAATATGTATACATACACATTTTCAGTGCTTCCATGCTCTGGAGCTGCCCTGACCTAAGGGCTATGTCGCCCGAACAGCGTGACGCCGTGCTGGCCGCCATGTCTGCCGCCAGCGAGGCCCAGCAAGCGTTGCTGGGCTGCAACCATGGCCAGAATGAAAAAAGTATGATAATACAGTATGTATAAGATAATAGTATGTCATATTGTATAATTAATCAACATTAATCAATATATGAATACATATGATACAGTATAAATTGATATAAATTAATTGATTTATATAACTTGATATTATGATGATATTGTTGTTTGCAGGTGCTTATACGCGGCAGGTACACATCCCGCTTCCAGACTCGGCTCAGGCAGCAGTCACAATTCTACGAGGCGATGAAAGCGCATGAAATGGAGAAGCTGCAGAAGAGCGGTGTCTTGTTTGTTGTAGGATTCCAATAGGATTCCAATGATGTCTTCATCCAACCCCAGAATTGCCGGGGACTTTTGGAAAACGTGAGACTTTCAAAGTCTTTACCTTTCTGAAAGTCGAAAGTGAAGATCCGCCGAAATGGGGCAGGTTATTCTTGGGGTTATCAGGGTACCAAAAAGGTTGCATCCACACCCATCCGAGGATACTACCAGAGTAATCAGCCGGAGCGTTTCAAAGATGGCTACCGACCGCTCCGCATGTGCAAGCACTTCAAGACTGACCAATGCTGGCGAGGTCAAGAGTGCCCTAGCAGCTTTTTACGAGTTTCATATGAGACTGAAGCCCCATTACGTTTCAGTTTAGGGTTTCTGTTTCCATATGATGTTTCCATTTGAATTTCATGTTTGATTAATTGCATTGCATTGTTATCATTATAACATATTATAACATGATTCATGGATGCTCGAACCACATCCCAGTCGACATCCCAGTGTAGGATTTAGCTATCATTTTCAAATAGTTTGTAATAGCTACTAATAGCTGCTATTAGCTGCTAATAAGAAGGCTCTTAATAGTTACATATAGTTACTATTCAGCACTATGAAAGGATACAAATAAGACAACCTCGTCTTTAGTGAGCCTGATGCATCCAAATAAAGCAACATGACGATTTCAAAACTGCAACTTTGGGATAAAGCTGATTTTCAAACAAGGCAATATAAAATAAGGAATTATTCATATTATTCCTTTCCCATCCTCCAGTGAAATCTGACAGCCACAGCCGATGGGCAAGGTGTACATATGCCCACAGCTTAGAGGAGTTGCATCCGGCCTCCCCTGATTTGCCACGAGTTGAAGTGAAAGAAACCAATGCCTTGGCCGAGCAGCAGATGCTGGGCTTCAGCGATCGTTTTTCGCGATGCAAAGATGTATCCATTCAGATGGTGTATGATGGTGTATGATGGTGTATGATGGTGTATGTAAAAAATCATCAAACTCACAACTGATTAAGACATATTAAGACATATTATGAATGTATACATAATGTATACACGTCAACTTTGTACATGTTACACGTTGTCACGCTCATTTGGGGTCACTTTTCTGATTTATGCTGACTTTTGCCAGCTGATTGGCCCCACTAAGGAAGGTGGAGGATAGTGCGCCGGATGTGCGATTGAAGAAGAAGAAGGATACCTTGCAATGTGCGATGTGTATTTGTAGAGACCTTTTTCACATGCTGTGACGGACGGACCATTTGCTGTCACATGTACCATCATGTACCAGAGTGAAGACTTCAATACATTTGATCAAGTTCATGATGTTTGGATGTACATGTGCAGGGTTCGCATCATCAGACAAATCTCTTAAAGCAAGCAGGTGATGGCCACAATCCATTTTGCAGCCAGTCCTAAGACATTTCGCTGAGTGACACAAGTGACACAGATCGGGTGAGGAGTTGTGCAACAAATGGAAGAACGGTCAAGATTGTGTGCTGGGCCGCGCCTGTCCCTATGCGCATGGTGAGAAAGAGTTGGGCACTGTTGAGCTCGTGGTGTGTGGCCGCGTGAAGACCAGGATCTGTAAGTTCTGGACGACTGGAAACTGTCACTGGGCTCAATTTACCGGGGAGTCACCAGGAGAAAGTATCAGACAGCAATAACATGTTTTGCAAAAACCTTTTGAGCCACGGACACATGTACAGCTTGACAGGCATGTTTTTGGGCAACTGCGTCAACGCACACGGAGAGAAAGAGCTGGGCACGAAGCGGCCTGACTTCATGACCCCTCCCATGAAGAAGCGAAGGGAAGGAGCGCATGTTGCCACATTTGCCACGGCATCCATGGCCCTATGGGACCTTGATCATGGTGAATCATGGTGTTGGTTTAAGGAGATCGAAATACTTTACCATAATTTACCTGAAGATCCATCCTATCTAGTTGGATCATGTTGGATCAATTTTTGGGGCCGGGGATGGCTCCAGGTTTCCCCAAGCCTTTTTGGACAAGGACAGGCAGAATAGCAAGACAAACCGTTAGGAACTTTGCAGGGGACACTTAGCAATTGTGCAAACCCAACAATAAACAATCCCTAATATCACCAGAAATGGATCGTATAAACCCTCCACAAGTGGAGGTTTGTTATTGAATATTGACCAATTGGGTTTACGACATCACACTGAGATGTGGTGAACACCGCTGGTTCCTTTGTGCGCAGGAGAGTCCATCGATCAGTTCAGAGAGCAAGTCATCGCAAAGAAGGGCGGTGGCAAGGGGCACAAGGGCGCTGGCAACCACTGAGAGCCAATCCCGCAGAAAACCCCAAAGTGGTCGGAAAGAAAGCGAATCTTTCTCCTCAGTTGCGGCATTCGTCAATGACAGGGTGGCAGTTGAATTGGTTCGAGTTGTCTCAGCCGTTGAAGGAATCTTGGCCAGTGTGCTGTTTGAGTTCAGAGCACTTATACCGTCAATTAAGAGACGTAAAATGACATTTCTTGGATCTGGTTTGGCAGATCAACGCTTTGGTTGCTTGACAAATACTGAGAGGAGAAAGGAGAGAACGTGAAGGAAATGAGGCAGTAAAGAGGTGAATAGGAGGGGCGCACTCGTGCATCAAAAAAAGACAGGCAGTGCTGCAGGGTTGTGAGATCCAAAGGTGAATACGGGCATACCGCGCAAAGTGTAGCAGCAAGATGCTCCGCAAATGGAAAGCCAGTCCAAGATTTAAGAAGACTGCAGGTAGTGTATTGGTATATCATTACCACATGCTTGCATGAGGCTTGTAAAGCCAGCGAGCTTCTGAGCAAGTTGCTAAAGCTGCTAGAAAGCCAACATAGACCTACTTGACCCGCAAATGCAACAGTATGTAAAAAAAAACAAAAAACATCTAAATCTATATTGTAGACCATATATATCCATATATCCTACATCATACACATGTATATATGGGTAGCCATATATATATATAATATATAATTATATATATATATATAGATTGAGCCCTTGCGGCTGCCCCCAGATGCTGGTTACGGCTTCTTGGACGCCGCCACGGAGATCCCGGGTGTGGTCTCGGTGGCCATGTTGGGGCCCCGGAGATGCCAGAGCTGTGGGACGTTGTGAATTGATGGGAAAATATGGGGATTGGATGGGATTAGTATGGGAAAACATGGGGTTATAATGGGATTATAATGGGATTATAATGAGATTCTTGGATTAGTATGGGATATCAATGGATATCATGATGAACAAACTGAAATGAGCAGTGGCTGCGACATACGCCTGTTGATGATTAGTTCGGGGATTATACATAAATTATATATACTATCCAACACTATCCAACATTAATTGGGGATTATCACGATGTATTGCGAGCTGGGAATCCCGTTCGCAACCCTTTGATGTGCTGAGTAAACGTTGGTAATATGTGAACAATAGATACTGAATATCACTGAATATCATCAGATATCCATCGTTTACATACACCTTGACCAAAGATTGTTGCTAAAGTCACGGTAAAGTTTGGAAGAGGTATACCTTGGTATACCTAAAGATTGTAAAGGCACAGTCCCGACATTTCCAGGGACCTGTGAGGTCCAATTTCTACCATCTGGCCAGCCGGTTGCCACCCTGGAGGTTCAACCGAAATCATGGGGTTCGAGACAGTCCCTTGGATAGTCCTGAGAAGCCCACTGAGTACCTACATCAGACCAGAGGCAAACTTGAGGCGGGACATATCGGGACATCGGGACAGAAAGCACGTTGTGGCAACTTGAAAATCTTGAGAGGCAGAGTAGACATGATTAGATAATCTTAGATATATCCCTGTTCTACTAGCTCATGGGTCTCCGTGTGACTGGTTTGATGGTGGCAACAGACATCCCACATCTATTGAGCAACAGGCGGACTCCAGATCTGCTGTTTCAGCCAGTGTTGCACAATAGCTGATGCCCTCAGTTGATTCATGTCGATTAGCTCCATTGTAACTCACAAAAAATGCCAGGCCAGTTTTCACTGGTTGGTTTTGACAAGTCCTGGGGCTGAGAGGCTGCTATCCTGGCCGCAGTGCAGGCAGGTATGGTTCCCAAGTGTTGGAATGCGATGGTCCAGATATGTCCAGATATATCCAGGTAAAAGACCATATATATATATATACATACGTACGTACGTACGTACGTACATACATACATATACATACATATACATACATATACATACATATACATACATATACATACATATACATACATATACATACATATACATACATATACATACATATACATACATATACATACATATACATACATATACATACATATACATACATATACATACATATACATACATATACATACATTACATTACATTACATTACATTACATTACATTACATTACATTACATTACATTACATTACATACATACATGATATATATATATATATGTATAATATCCACGTGATGGACCTGTATGAACCTCATGTCTGAAGCGGCATTTTCCGATTCCGGGCTTGAGTATGCGGCTATGCAGTTCGCATCGTTTTGCCCCAGATCTCGCTCAGTCAAAAGGACGGAAGTCACTTGTTGGCTAGATCAGGTTTTGGAAGCCGAAGTCATCGTTGTACCTGACGTTGGTTGCGGGGTCTTCGGGAATGACCCCTTGGTGATTGGTGGCTGCATGGGAGCCAAGATGAACCAACAGGACGTGATGGTTTCTTTGTAGTAAGTTCTTGCTTGGTGTTCAGAACCATAGGTGTCCTGGTACGTCAAAGACTATCAAGATCACATCAGAGCTCGATTTATGAGCTTAGATTTAGACACGATGAAACTACTGAGAGCGGATGAGGTGGACGGCCGTATAGTACCCATCGTGCACACCCTCTTATCTGTCATGACATTTTTATGATAATCTATTAATGTATTGTGCTACATCTGAAAATATACATATTACGATCATCGTCAGAAAGTGGCTGCCAAGGTTTTGGCAGCGTGCTACGGCTTCACGCTCCAAGCCTGACCACTGTGAAGCAGGTGATCATCACTGGTCGCCGGGACGACTTTGCGACTGCCTGCGAGAAAGCCCTAAAGGGCGAGGAGAGGGGAGGGGAAGTCTGCCCCTTGTCCCAGGTAAGTCAGGAAAATGACCCCCTATGATAATCAATCAACAGGTCAACAGGGGATGTTTTCCGGTATGCTCTCTACAGCTGTCCATTGGATAGAACTTGGAATGACGTTGGACAAAATCATCAAAACATCGACATGCACATATTGAGGGTGGTGGATATGTCTCCAAGCGTGACACGTTTGATTGAGAGATGATTGCTCATTGCCAGCACATTTAGTTAGCTTGTGCTACTGGATTAACGATCTCTACGCTTTCCTCCAGTAGCAGAACAACATAGAACAACACTATGCAATCAACCTTCAAGGAACTGAGGGGATCTTAGCGGCAATGCCTCTGACTCCTTGTCACAAAAAGGGTTTGATTCCAGGGTTCTATCCCGGTGCCTTGTTCTCTGCAACCAGTCACTGTCACAGGTCTACTTTCTTGGAATGACTTTGAGGCACCTTGATCTTCCAAAATCAGCTTCCCTAGTTTTTGTTTTTTTTGGTACCATAGATTGCCATAGATGCCATAGATTGCCATAGGGTAGGGAGAGTTTCCATTCAGCCAACCACTTACTCCATGCGCAGGATCCCAGGCCAAAGTGCCGGGAGGGCACCATATGCAATAGTCGGGGCCCAGCTTTGCCAATTTTCAAGGAACATCTGGATGTCAGCCTCGCCTTGCCTGAAATCAAACTTCGTGTTTTAAGGTGGTTAACTTTCATTTGGAGCGTGCATTATTTGATTTTTTTTGTTGGTATCGTAGATTATACTGGCTGGGGTTTAGGGCGGTTCCCACTTTGTCGATTAGTTCATAATCCGCAAAAACCTTCAATGCATCACTATCGATAGCAGTAGTCAATTCATTATCATGTCATTATTGGTTTATGATGAATTTCGCATAATCCCTATAAATTCACTATACAGTACTGTCGGCTATTACAGGCTCTAGACCCATCTATAGACCCTACAATCATCTACAAATGCCCCAGCGAAACCGCGCAAACCGAGGTCTCAGCGATGTGATGCATGCTGCACGCTTCGACCATGGAACTCCCGAAGGCCAAAGCCAAAGCGTTTGTTCAACCTGTTGGGGATAGAATGTCAGAATTATGAACTAACATTAAGGGTATGATATGGGGTATTCTGTTCTCTATAGCTGGGGCATTGGTAGATGATTAGTTGATTATAACTGGTGGAAAGAATACCAGGCTCTAAAGTTGTAGTGAAGCTGGTGGAAAGAAACCTGAACATGAGTAAGCCACAACCTGCATTCAAGATATCTGAACCTCATCACGTCCGCTGTTCTAGCTCTCAGTGACCACTCAAGCTTTCTTTTTTTGGGTACCATACCAGGCAAAGCTGATAGCATTGTGGAAGACGCTCTGCTGATGCTGGCGTCAGAGGCTTAGTTACTAGGTTACTAGGAGGACCTCGTATTTTTCCAGTTGTTGTTATATGTTCTGTAGATTTCAAGAAAGGCTATACTATAGGGCTTGACCACGCCGAACCTAGTATGGCCAGAGTGTCATAACAATCTGGTGGTGATCATGCCATGCCATGCGATGCCATGCACGCCACATCTTCACTTCGGTCCCACGGCGCTGGTCCGAGGAAGCATCCAGAGCCAAGCTCCAAGACGAAACCGCCTTGCCGCTATGGCGCTGCCTGCAGCTTGACTGAACCATACTGAAACTAAGACACGCAGCTGGAATGGTTTCAAATCACGACACACAAAAAGTAGATAGAAATGTGATGTCCATATATACTTGTACATATATATTACATATATCTATCTATCTATCTCATTTCATTTCACCTGTAATAGGAACTCATCCAATGTTCGTTTCAGTATTTGGCATCATTTCATGGCCGGGCTCCGTGCATCTCCGTGCGCAAAAATGGTCAGGCCATCTTCGGAACGCAGAGCACTTGGCGAGTTTGGGTTCTCAGTCGTTGAATGTTGAGCAGATAGGCTGGAAATGTATCCAATATGGCTGCTATAATATAATATAATATAATATAATATATATACGTAATTATATATATATATATATTATATATATGCTATAATTATGCCATCAGTTTCCAGCAGTAGCATGTTTCAAGCTTCACAGTCCATCAATCATGTTGATTGATGACAAGATTGCCTGGATTGCAAGCGCGTCAGACATGGCTCATCAAAAAATAATGCACAACCTGTTTTTTTTTCGGATGCAACTTCGTCCCGCTTTTGAAGCCTGGGTTCCTTTCAAGCAAGAATGGGACGTTTCAGGCAAAGTGCCAACCACAGGTATTTGTTAGCCAAGGCATGATGAGCTTTTGTTGCTTTGGTGCATCGACAAATGCTGATGTTTTGGAAGATAACGCTGAGAACATCTGGCTGATTCTGCATGTTTCCAAGGATTTTCCCACCCAGAGAAGGGTGGAACACTTCCTGGTGCAAGGCACGCTGGAAATCGTTGGAAGCCCACCCTGGCGCATTGATGGGGTTTCCAGCATGTTTTGAATGTCCTTCAGAACTCCATCGCTCATCTGACCCTGAAGTCCTGAAGTTCATTTTCTTGGTGACTGAAGGCAATCATATTGGAACTGATTTGCCTATCACGATCTATCATGCATTGTGACTTAGTAGTTCACAGGCATTCAAAGGCTGCATTGTTTAAAGTTTAAAGTCAGCTGGTTTCCCCAGTGCTTGGACCGTGATCACAGAATGCTGTCAGTGTTTTTCCTCTTGTGACCAGAGTGCAAGAGAACTTCGAAAGTTTTATTACAAGATATTACAAGTCTCCTGACAACGTCACAGTCTTTGGGAGTTAAGTTTCATGCCTATTGAGTGAGCACCACAGAAGCAAACCTATGCAGAATCAGTGACTCGTTCATTCGCTCAGTGGCGGCACGACAACAAGCGGCGCTGGCAGAAGCTCATTTAGTGGTGCATCTGGAACTGGTGCATCGGCAACTAGTGCGAGGACTCGCGGTGGAGGAACAGGAGGAACGCCCGGGTGCCCAATGGTGCCCCACCTTGACGAGTCCATGTTGGAAAAGTACGAAAACAATCCTTCTTCTCACATCTTCTCACAATTTAGTGAGGGTCACCATTGAATGCACTTGATGGACGAGTCGAGAAGCAACAATCCGGGTGAACGTTGAACATAGCATCCCAGAACCATTCCGTACCAAATCCAGACACGAACATGTGAAGCAGGTTGCTGACATAGCTTGAGCACCTTCCCTCAGAAAGCCTTTTTGACAATGTAGCCGTAACATGCTGTTGTTGTTGTTGCTGCTGGTGGTGTTGTTGTTGTTGTTGCTGCTGCTGCTGGTGTTGTTGTTGCTGCTGTTGTTGCTGTTGTTGCTGTTGTTGTTGCTGTTGTTGTTGTTGTTGTTGTTGTTGTGGTTGTCGTTGTCGTCGCCGTCGTCGTCGTCGCCGTCGTCGTTGTCGTCGTCGTCGTTGTTGCTGCTGCTGGTGTTGTTGTTGTTGTTGTTGTTGCTGCTGCTGGTGTTGTTGTTGTTGCTGCTGCTGTTGTTGTTGTTGCTGGTGTTGTCGTTGTCGTTGTCAGTCCCCCCGTTGTCGTTGTCGTCGTCGTGGTCGTGGTCGTTGTGGTCGTTGTGGTCGTTGTGGTTGTTGTGGTTGTTGTGGTTGTTGTTGTTCTATTGTTGTTCTATTGTTGTTCTATTGTCGTTCTATTGTCGTTCTATTGTTGTTCTATTGTTGTTCTATTGTCGTTCTATTGTCGTTCTATTGTTGTTCTATTGTTGTTCTATTGTCGTTCTATTGTTGTTCTATTGTTGTTCTATTGTTGTTCTATGTTTGTTCTGTTGTTGCTGTTGCTGTTGCAATTTAAACGTGTAAATATTTTGTGCAAGACTCAGGATCTGTTTACGCTTTCATTGTATAGGTTCAGGAAATGTTTTTAAACTCACAACTGCCAAATTGTGGCAGAGTAAGGAGACCCTCAGTGGAACTATCGCAGTGAGGCTACCAACACCTGGAGGATCTGGAGGGTCAACGCAGCCCCGGAGCCCTTGGGGCCTTTTGGGGGCTATTCGGATGGGGCCGGATGGGGGGATTACGGTTGATCGAGGCAGTGATGGACACGGACACCGTGAAGGAACGGAAAGTCCTGGAAAGTCTAGACTTATGAAATCTTATGAAGACTTGAACATGTTGTTGCCACTGTTGCCTGTTAGGCTCCAATGTGTCTTGCAACTGCCTCTGGAAATTAGTGCAAAAAAATGCTGCACTTGAATTTTCGAATCCACAAGCACGCAGAAACACGTACGGTGAGATGACTCCAGAGTATAGTTCTTAATTGACACATCACTCTCACGTGGAGCTTCTTGCCCCGATCCTCGTGCTAGATGCCTGGTTACCAGAGTAGATTCAGTGATGGACTTCAGCAGCAGAAAAAGCTGCTCTGCAATTCACAAGCCTGTCAGGAGCGGTAGTCCATTTGCAGACACACCAGCAAGACCGGGAGAAACTCCCTCCGTGTCTCGAACGACTGAGGAGATCTAGAAGGGAAGTGGGTACGGTCAGAATGACTTTTACATGACAGGTGGCAGAGGCAACCATAGCAATCACCTGTTGGATTGTTCCCGTTTGGTCACTATGCATTTTTTTCCCAGGAGGGCAAAAGTCCCCGCGAACCACCAAAGCCTGTGGCACTGAAGCTCAGATACTGTAGCTCTTTAGGTGTTGTCCTTTCAGGCTTGATCAAGTGCAATCATCTTGAACTTGTATGATATTTCTGGATCATAATTCTGTGATTCACTGGGATATATATATATATATGGATATATATTCGATGGCTAAACATTGAACATCTCTGGTTCAGAACTTTCGCACTGTTCCTGGATTGTTCCTTGATGTGAAGTCCTGCTGAGGTTGAGTCCGGCGGCAGCAGCTCCAGTCGGCGGGAGGTGTGCAAATATGGTAAGGCGCCAGACCGGACCTGGCCCTGAAAGGTTAGTGACGGTTAGTGGACAGATGTGGACAGGTATCGTAGGTTCATCCAATCTTGGGATTTCTTCGGCTTGCGGTCCAAGCGTCTCCACTCCATTTTCGAATCACTTTACATTCTTAGAGTATGTGCAGAGGCCGGAAGAGAGTCCACATGTTCATCGCATTGACACCCTGACTGTCAGGACTGCTACAACAAAAATCCCAAACACTTGGAGGACTTTTCCCATCCATGGCTTGATGGTGAAACCGAAGACCAGGCGTGGTATGGCCATTGGCAACGGGCTTCACCAGGTCAGCATACTGCTGGATGTGTCGCGGGTGTCGCTCGGCCAGGAGAAAGATCGCTTGGAAATTCAAGAAGTGCACGATCTCCTCTCGTTGGCCAAGGTGCGGGATACTGCGGGATACCCTTTGGAAAAACTGGTCGTTTCCAGTTTGATATGCGAGATCACTGCGATGTTTACTGAACAATACTGAACATACTAGTACCTGTAGGAACTCCAACAGGAGATAATTTCAGCCTGAAGAGGAAAAACCGACTTTTGGGGTCTTAGACTGAAATTTCAGTCTGAGGGTGATCTCAGACTATTTTGAGATTTTCAGGCTGATTCGTTTGAATCTCAACCTGAATTTGGTGAGAAGTCAGGCTAGAGCCAGGACTCAAGAACTGCTCGGCCATCCCGATGCTTACCGTATCCTTCTCTCTTCTGATAGAAGCTAGATCAAACAGCTAGCTCAATAATTCAAAATCTAAAGAGTCAACACATTGTGACAGGCTTGAAGTGTGCTGGTGGTAAAAGAATGTAAAAAGACATATCGTGCCAGCTTTGCACAAGTTCATGAAGCATCTGATTTCCACTATAGACTATACTGGTTTTGGGACCCTGGGGTTTCAAGCTTGGTTTGGAAATTGCAAACCTGGACCTGAATTTATGAAAAAATCGGGCAAACATCGCATTAATCGGGCGACGCATGCCGAAACTCAAAAAAATCAGATTTTCATTATGTTATTTGACTTCAAATTCTGAATGATCATTTTTTAAAGATTCAAACCATGATTGAATTACCTATCTCCATAATCTGTGAATTCGAAGTTCGAGTTTGGGATGGAAGCCAGTCAGATTTACCAGTCATCAGTTAACCGGACTGCTGCTTTGTGCTTCTGGGATTTCTGAGTTATGCACCCCGTCATCCATGCCATTCAGCATGTCCAATTGATCTCAATATACCATTGAACCAGCACGTTTTGGGCAAAGTGCTATTTTTTCTTTTTGCTCGGGCCAAAAATATTGATTCAGGCCAAATGTTCAGCCTGAATGCATGCAGTCAGCAAAACTAAGTAGTGGGTCAACATGCCAGTGGTCTAGATTGGCAATGGTTTTTTCAATGACAAAGAAATGCAGGAAATGAAAAGAAATTAAAAAATGAAAAATATGAAAAGAAATGAAAAGACATGAAAAAATGAACAAAACATGAAAAGAACTGAAAAAAAGACAAACATCGGAAAGGAAAAAAACACGTTTTTCTTTTTCCTTTTTTTATCTCCTGGGTTTCGAGACATTGGGATAACCTGCCTGTGGTTTTTAATGGAGAACATGTTCCTTGAGATCATTTGTTTTTTTTCCATCTTTTTTGCCATTGTTTGGACAAAATGTTGTAAACTTTCAAAATAATTGAGAACAGATGAATTTTTCAAAAAAGAACTAACGCAAACGTGCTGCCAGGGTGTTTCTGGTGTGATGTGCTGTGGAAAAATCTGAGATTGTTTGCGCGTGGCCAGCGTTGTCAAAACAAAGTCAGTTTTGATGGGCCACCGCCTGAACAGATTAAATAGAAGGAAGTAAAATCATTTGAGTTCTATCTATGTATTTTTTTGTACATGTATTTCCTTTTACTTCTTGTTATTTCTCTATTTCTTTTTTCTTGTGAAAACATGTTTTTACACGATTTTAAATGTGTTTTTTTATTTTTGGACCAACCAAACCATGTTGAAACCTAACCTACTGCAACCTGCACCACCACTTAGTCTTGCTGATGCAGACCATTATTATGGCTTGAGGATTTCGTAGGTATACAATTCGTCTAAAGAATCTAAAGTTCGATTTGGCCAAACAAGTGCACAGACGATTTTCAACATGTCTCGAGCTCAAAAGTAGAGCAAAGTAGTTTTTGCAGAGTAGATTAAGAGGACATAAGAGGACAAACCAGGTTGTTTCTCAGGATGTCGTGAGGCGGGTCCATTCAACACTGGGCTGCTGTCAGGGAACGAAGTGGGCAGAAGTCGACAGAGTTCTGAAGCGAAATCCCAAATTAGTTGCCAGGGACCCAAGCACTGACGTCAAGTGATTTGCTGCTTGTCATGACGTCATGACGGTGTCGGCAAGGGTGAGATTGAAGAAGTGCCAGGAACGTGGACCATCTGACATCCTCTGACTCCTGTGATGCTGTTGTGAAGCCACTAAGGACATGAGACCAGAGGGGCGAAAGTATGCTTTGATCCACTTTGTCGGGAATCCCAGGGGCGTTTCAGACTTGAGATGGCCAAAATAGAGAGAAACCGGTATTCCAATGCAAGCCACGGCAGAAGTGTAACATGGTGAAACAAAGCAATCCAACAGGTTCAGTGGGCTTCTTCATCTAAGATCCCACTGCTGAGTGATCGCTCTTGCGCCGTAGCCATAGCTGAGGCGGCTCACCAGTTGCATGAAAAAGCTCTGGAGATTGTCCTAAAAGCTGGAGCAGACATTAAAGCGAAGAGCCAGGACAAGGGCGCACAGGGAACAATGTCGCTGAATGGCTTCACAGCAAGCAGCATTTGCAAATGACAAGTTTTCTCCACTTCGCTATATGAACTTGGAGATTTATGAGATTTTATGAGATTTTTATGAGATTTTATGAAATGTTGAAGCATGTTGAAGCTACATCCATGCTTTTCCTAGGTGCCCATGAATTGAAACATGATTCACCTGCTCCGCCATACTGAACAGATCTGAGCAGGATGGCTACACTGCGAGACAAATTCTACAAGCCAACGTGCAGGCACTGCTGTCTTTTCCAGATTTCTTGTGGCATCGCTTACTGTTCACATTTTTCTCTTGACTTGGCATCCTTTTCTCTTGGCATCTCATCTCTTAAACTTTCTTTTTCTTGAGTTTTTCTTGAGTTTTTTTTTCTGAAGGCATCTTTTTCTCTTGACATCTCTGTGTTTATTGATCTCATTCTCTTCACATCTCCTTCTCTTGTAAACTTTTATAAACTTTTTCTATCAACTTTTTTTTTCCCTCTCTCTCTCTCTCTTGACATTTCTTTCAAGTGACATCTCTGTCCCTTGACATCTCTCTCATGATATAATTCTCTTGGCATCTCTTCTGTCTCTTGACATCCATTTCACACAATCTTGACGCAGCAGTCTGAATGCAGCAACAACTGGATTGCGAAACGCAATAGCACCAGCACACAGACGCAAACCCAAAGTCACCTTGGCCCAGCAGTTCGACTGCACTGCGCACCCACCATATTGCACGCCAATAGCACCAGCACAAATGCACAGAGCAGTTCCAGCTCCCAGAGCCGCTCGCCTCGCCTAAAAAGTGTGGCTTTGAAGCGTTGCTCAAAGGAATTTTAAAAATGCGAAGCGCCAACAGTCGAAAATTCGTCAAAAAGCAGCACCGATGCAGCAACGAGCCCCAAGCGACCATGGATTGCAACGCGATCGCACCAGGGCACAGACACACAAAGTCACCTTGATGCAGCAGCAATTCGACTGCGCAGAGCAACCTCTCTAGCACTCTAGCTATATTATATTTTAATTTTAATGCTAAACACGAACTAGGTTTGCAGCCGCAGCAACAACATGGACGTAGCCACTCCAATGTACTTTGCAAGCACAGAGTTGCGAAACAGCAAAACCATCAGAGCACACAAGAACATCACAAAACCATGCAAAAGCGTTGACACCTCAGTTCTAATGCGCGCCCGTCCGATCCAAGCATGGTCCGAGAAAGATGCGAGACTGTCTTGCAGGGGGCAGACCTTACCCATTGGTAGCACACGGTTTCGTGCATCGGCGGTCTTTCAAAAACGCATCTCGTGCAAGACCTCCAAAAAGGTAAGTTGAATTGCGCAAACAAAATAAACAAAGCTTTCGTGCGAGACTTTCTTCAAAAGGGAGATGGTGGTTTCTTGCGAAAGCGAGCTGGGAGATGGTGGTTTGTTGATGTTTGTTGTGGAAAGATATTTTGGTTTGTTGTGACTGTGAATGTCCGTAACTTGGAAGCCTCTCTCAAAAGCATCCTTTGGTATCCTTTGGTCATTTACTACCCCTGATGTTTGTGTTCTCTACCTGCATAATCCTACATGAGTAATCAACACAATTATTGTAATACTAATTTGGTTTTGCTTCGCCTTGGCCTTTCCGAGGTTGCACAAAACCTTCATAACCGATAGGGGACGACCCTATACCGATACCCCATTTGTGATACCTCCGGGAATACTGAAATCTTCACAACCGGAAAGGGACGACCCTAATTTGTGCATGGTATTACATTTAAATACATTTAATATATATATATATATATTTTTTAATATTTGTCCGCTACTCACATCAAAGTTTGGGAAACCTCTGTTGAGAGTCCACAAGTGGAGTCTTGGCAAACGGTGAGGCTCTTGACAAGGTCAAACTGGGCGAGACGACGGAAGAAAGACTCAGGCAGCTGGGATTCTTGTGCTGACCCAGGACCTGGCAACAATAGCCATCTGACATGGGTCGCGATTGTTACGGGATGTTACGGGTATGACTGCTTTACCGGATCGCGAGACAAATCGTAGCAACCTTGAGACAGGCGATATGATGAAAAGAGAATGGCCCAACATTGTCTGTTGGGGAAGCCCAGCCTGCATGCAGAGGTGAGTGAGATCAAAGTCATCCAAATTCTATAGAAGATTAGAAATTACTATCCAATAGAATTTGAATATATTTAAATGATAGTATTTTTTTTTTTTACAAAACTGTTTTAAACTTATACTAGTATAGACAGTATAGACCCAAATGAGCCAAGGAGATTCAAGCTTATCGGATCTTATTGGATCATGGAGATCTGTCCAGGGCTTCATCGTCCAAGCTTCAGGGCTCTGCTTGATCGACATGAACGTGGAGCAGGAGGTGAAGGGAATTATTTCTCTGGACGGTTAAGTGTTGAGAACGTCCACATATGGAAATGAAGATGTTTATCTAGGGATGTCCTTCTATCGGATTTCTGTGGTTATAGATATTATTTAACAATATTTAATACAATTATTAGGCACTTGAACAGTCGACATGAATGCAGGCAGTGGACTTGGAGTTAGTGGAGTTGGTGGAGTGGGCGGCGTCCACGGCGTCGGCCACGGAGCTGGTGCAGGTGGCTTGTCACAGGCGAAACTTGACCAGTTGAGACCTCACCAGTTGAGTGCAGGTGGAGTTGGTGGTGGAGTGGGTGGAGTGGGCCATGGCGTCGGACGTGGCGACCGACCTCGTGCAAGCGGCCTGTTTCCAATGAATGGTCCTGGTTCTAGTGGAATTGGTATGAGGCGTTGTCATGACATCAGGAGGCTTGCCATGCAGTTGTTTTGTGTGGATGCTTTCACCCTATTGCTAAATACCATTCCAAATCGCTAAGTAATCAACCAGGCTGGCTGCTTTTGTAGTGGGCAGTGCTTGGTTTAGCATTTGGGGGTTTCCCTAAAAATGAAATATAGACCATCATGCCAAAAAACATGGCAGCTTTCATTGCCAAAAGTCATGCAAAAGACCATACAAAAACGGTATTGTCGCTCTCAAATCAATCCCACTCCTTTTGAAGTTTTTTTTTGAAAATTGATCAACATTGAATTTTGATGAATTTTGGAGGTTTCCCTTAGGCAAGACGTATTTTGTCGCTTCCACAATCGATCAGGTTCCTTTTTACACATGGATTTCACAAATTGCCAAAAGTTGGATTGAGAAGTTTCTCCGAGTAATAAAGCACCAACGGAAAGACATTTTGGCTGTTTTCCAATCGATCTTTTTATATATATATATATATATTTTGAACGGTCATCAATCTTGAGCTTCAAAGGTTGCCCCAATAATGAAATAAAGAACCTGTACAATACACATGCAAAGGGCAGAACCTATTTGTTATTTTCAATATTGCTCAGATTCTACTTTAAACATAATAATATAATATAATATATCTTTAAACCATTGCCTAGAATTGGATTTCGGAGGCTCCCCTAACAATAAACATACTTTGCTTCGTGTGATCACAATCGCAGCAAAAACATTCTCCAAAAATGCCGGCACATAGAAAATCACATTCATTCCGACAAATTCTGACAACTTAATAGGTAGTCTGACAAAACATTTGACATAGAGCTGACATACACGTATATTCTGACATATATTCTGATATATCATTTGACAAATATGCTGAACTCGGGCATAAATTCTGACATTAACCTTGACATGGAAAAAAATGCTATATGAATTGTATTGAGTCGTACTGAGTCGTACTATGATTTTTTTTTCACAATTTTTACAAGCCAGTAGATTAGAAAATCTATTTTGCAGAAGGGACCATATTTTTATGGATTTATAATTTATATTTATTTTTGGTTGTGGGATTCTAGGGTTTCTCAAAGAGCTGCACTTTTGCAAATCGTAGTTTTTCATAGATTTCCTTTCCGCGGGCCGTATTAGTAACAATTGATATATTTTAAAAAATGGTCTCCGGAAGGGAACTCCTGACCTGAATTGATTTATTTCTAGATTGGTAGCGTGCGGCTTTCATAATTCTCCAATGAATTCCCCATCTAACTTGGGCCCCTATGGTTTGATAAAATCCCCAATCTTTGTCACCATGAGCCATGCCAGGAATGTGATCTTTCAGTTGATGATAATGATAGTCCCTGCAAATTCTGTCTCACCGAAGTTTCACGTATTTTGATCCGCATTTCAGGATCTTGACATAAAGACACTTGTTGGTGTCTAAGCGGGACCGTGAACATCCATGAACAAGACCTGTTGAGTATTTCATGCATTTCATTTTCGGAAACTATGTGCTGGAACAACTCATGTTGGTGACGTTTTCTCGGTGTTGTGTCTCGCGAACGTGCCGTTCACGCATAAAAAATATACCTCAGAGCTGCAGATGAGATTTTATTGACCAAACCACCAGAGCAGGCCATGGGATTGTTGGATTTTGGGTATTTCTGTTTACGCATGTTTTCACTATCTCCTAATATTTACCATATTTTCGATTATGGTTGGTTTGCTGGTGGCTCTTCTACGAGTTGTTCCATTCACAGTTTACCTCTTTGAACGCCAATGAGTTTAGTTGCAACTCGAACACGTTGGCAGACACGACAATCCAACAATATTCCACATAACTTAACTATCATATACTGTCTTCTTCCTTCATGCGCTTAATTTGCTGAATCAATTCCCAGACTACCCAATAGCAACAACAAATCCAAAAACAGTCACAAGCGCGCACACACATGGACATTGCCAGACATTGTTTTGTCGCTAGCTGGGGCTGTCGCTGTTGTGGCTGATATATAACGAAAGCCCGTGTGCCAGAACATTCCGGGTTTATCTGCTGCAGCTTCAAATCAAACATGGTAGGCATATTCACCTTGCTGCCAGTAATTGGCTTGGTCAACAAAAAGTGCAAGAGGAGACAACATCCTGAGCCAATAGGGTCAACCATAGGTTTGCAGTCAATAGATGAACCCGGGGCATTCCTAAAGCATTGGTTTGAGTATTCCATTCCTTGAAATGTTTTGGTGGATTGATTATATAATCAGTTGGCTCTAGTGGTAGTCAGCATTTTCGGAGTGGAACCAGACACATTCGACTTCCATGCTAGCCTCAACGGCCGGTAGCACCCCAGGAAATCTATCAGCCTCAGCCAGAATGGATACATGAGAGATCCACTCACTCTCTGAACTTGGACTCTTTGAATCCTTTCATGCTAGGACGAGGATAGACTTGGCAATTCTAAATTATTCTGCATTTTGATTCTGCATTTACTGTAAATTTAAAAAGATACAAGTCTAGCCTCCAAATTCTTCCGTCAATTTTTTCAGCTACCCATGGCATCATGGCGGCTGCTTCGTCGGCAGTTCTTAGCATGTCTTCTGGCAAGATTTGTGGGGCAAAGCTTCGTGTACCTTGGCAAAGTGCTGAGAGACATACTATGAGAAGCCCTGAGAGACAGGAAAATCAATGAGCTTTTCCACACCGCAGAAAGCTGGATAGAGTGACAGAGCCCATTGTTTTTTCTTAAAAGTGCGGGGACATCAGCGAAAGGGGTTGAATGATTCAGTTTTGGTTGCAGCTGGTTTGTCTACAAGAATTACTTTCACATCAAAGAAGACCAGATAGAAACAAAGAGCCAATAATTTTCTTACCGAAACACAGAGTCTTGATTCCGCAAAGATTTGGAAAGATCGTGTCAAGGCGTGTTATTTCGAGCTAGTCTGGAATACCTACCGTCTCAAGTATTCACGATTAATGGACCGGAGAATCAGAAGTGGAGTGGGGAGACAGCACGATAGCCTCGCGAAATGGTTTTTCCATGTTTTTCCACAATTCAAAGCCGCTTCACTTTGCAACCACATCAGCACGGACATCCATGTTTGAGATCCCCGTTTGCCATTGAAATGGAAATAACGGATCCAACCTTGACAAACACAGCTTCGCGGTCGAAAGCCAGCAGCCCCTGAGGAATGGCGCTCACCGTCAAGTTGCGCCGCGCTCTGTGCCGGGGAACCTGTTGACTTTGTGAAAACTGGATAGTGGCAAACAACTTGTTTCTTCAAATTTCAGACGAAGACAGAATGGGAAATGCATTCCACAACAGATTGTTTCTGCTAAATTCGGAACATTGGAATATCTTGAACAGAAAATTTGACTGAACATGACTTAAGCATACTTAAGCCGTGTAGCCTTGGGGATTCCTATGATTCTTCCATATCCAAACTGCTGTTCTCAGTCCCAGGGTCCCGTGGCGCAGGCTGTTGGCCGCGCGTGACCCTTGGGCGGTTTTAGAGCTGACCCCTGGAGCGTCTCGCGATGACGTGAAGAAAGCGCCTTGGCGATGAGTGCGGTTTGGTGGGCGAACATACCAACCGATATCAGTCAACATATCAGCCCACATCAGAAGTCAATATCAATATTATCCAATTCATTGTCAATTTCGAGACTGTGGAAACAAAACCACAAAGAAATGTAAACCATTATGTAGGCTCGTGTGCACAGCGCACCTGCTGCGTTTGTGGGTGAATATGCGTGCATGTGCACCATGCAGACCGGATTTGAGAGGTGTTTCTTTGGAATCTTAACAATTTATCATATTTTATCATTCTTTGCAAATCAATGGAGTACAGCGTACACACTTTGCAATGAATCAAAGCTCAATCAACATCCAAAGAGGATTCTCAAGAATTGAATATGAATACTATGGAATGTATCATATCATATGATTGAATATTATTGAATTGTTATTATTGTTGGTCATTAATCCGACTATATCCCACCTGAAGGCCTCTGCCAGTGCGTCCCAGGCCTTCAGGGAAAAGATCCGAAAGGCTCACCCTGACGCTGGCGGCACGGCGAAGGAGTTCAAGGAGGCGGAAGATTTTGACGTAATATGACGAGATGGGATACGATGGGATATGGAATATGAAGTTACCGTATATGTTTTTTTTTTTTATTTATATGGGGATGATATGTATAACTGTGATGGAAACTGGATTTGCTAGAGATCATTTGGGATTATAATTATAGTTGGGATTTCTAGTGACATGTTGGGACTATATGGGGATGAATCAAGTGGCCTATAATTCCGTAAAGTTTGGGGGGTGAACATGGAAAAACATCCATAGCTACAAGCTACTTTGGGATGAACACATGTTTGGCAAGGTTTTGACCCATAGCCATACGATCGGGATATATTGGGATATTGGGAATTGGCAAGAAACGGTATGCCATGCATGGGCTTGTCCAGGAATGGGGAATACAATTTTGATGGGAAAATGGAGTAGAATTGATTGGAATTGGGGCACCTCATGATTGGACTAGCCAAGATATCATTGCTGCTTGGTTGATCAAAAGGGGGCCATCCACCCAGAAAACATCCTAGTTGGTGCAGGGTCTACTTATGTGGCAATGATGTGTGTTCCGGATTTCACATGATGATCTGATGGCGTATTCCATCGTATTCCACAAAATGTTGGGTAGAATGTGTTACTGTATCAACTATCAATGAAACTATTGAAAGCACATGGCAATTAGGCCTTTCCTTTTGGCCCATACATTCCAAAGTTGCAATCGGCGGGATCCCCTGCAGGTGAGGGAAGCTTACCAAGCTGCCCTCAACGAAGCTGGCACCGGCACTACTTCAGGGCCAGGGTCCACAGGGCCCAAGGGCTCAACACGTGGATGGAGCATTTCCGCATCCTGGCCGCAGTCGGCTGTGTAGACAGGGCATGACTTCTGAAGATTGGGATCAGGATTTCACTCAAGGGACCAAGGTTTTTGCAGCCAATTTGCAACCTTCCATTTGTACAAGATGTACGAGTTTCATTTGTACACGTTGGCAAATTCTTAGCTTGTGCACACTCCTCCTCCGCTTGTTTTCGGCATGCTTAATAGCCTGTGCTGATTTGACTATCATGCGATGGAAGGACTTCTACAGATGGCGGCGAGAGCAGGTCAACAAGCAGAAAGTTGAATGGGATAAGGCTGGGGCTGAGCCGGCTGAGCAGAATGATATAATACGGTTGAATTGAATTCGTTTAGATTAGATCATCAGGTCTCATGATTTTGGGATATTTTGGGTGCCATTAATAGACTAATATAATATATTTATAATTATATATACGTATATTTATACATTTTATACGTATGTATATATAAACATATAGTATAAATCGACATTATTTTCGGTATAGCATCGTTTGAGTTAAGAGGTTCCAATTGTTGTGCCCCAAGTGAAGTCCATTCCGCAGCAGTTAAACATGAATGTTGTTAGAATGCCTGTGAAACAATGGCAACTTCAGTGAAATCGATGACAATGCTATGGAAAAAATCACTGAGCTCTCAACTGGACTATACCCCATATGGCCATCCATATATGTATCATTTGCATTCATTTGCATTCATTTGCTATATATCATTGATAAGATAATAGAAGATAATATAACATCACATATGTTTGCTTTACGTCGCAATGTCACAAGGACCTCGACTTCTCTACCCTACGGTGCCAGGACGCCGCTGGCTCCGGTCATCACTGGTGGAGCTCTGCTGAGCAACGAGCGGAGCAGAAAGAACAAGCGCGGGCCATGGATGAGGCGACTTGGGACATCAATGGGGTATCCCCCGCTATGGATGATGAATCAGTGGATTTGGGGATAGCCTTATTTTCAGACAAACCTGCTGTGTGGTGTGGGGTTAGTTAGTTGTTAGACTTACAATTGTAGTTATACCATGGATTTACGGAGCAACCACCTCGCTGGTCGGTGTCGGTGATGGCATTAGTTGGTTGGTAAAATCTGGGGAAGATTTCGGGAACATCCAAGGAACATCCAGGGAAATTGGTGATTCAAGTGGATGCTCCATGATTTATCCAGTTGACTTGGTGTAGAAACCATGGACTATATGGGACAATCATCTATAAGATGGATGTATATCATGAAAGGATTTCCTATATGATTATGTTTGTTTGTTGATTGATAGACCCCATTCACTACTGTAGTATGATATATCTTCTACCATAAATCCAATCGTTTCCCTACTTATTTCCACCAACTCAACTAACCCTGGGGATAAGCTTGTATGCCAGGCAAATACATTTCATGCCACGACAAAAAGCGGAATGTCACCTGTAAAATAGAGGTGTAACCAACAGTTAAATGGTGATTCAACCAACCAAATGGATCCAAATCGACAGTTAGCTAGAGTTTGGATTGGTCTATAATTCCAATAACTCGGATTTCAATGTTGTGATGTGACTTGGGATTAACAGTTTCACAGTGGTAAAGCCACATGGATCGCATTGGTGTGTTGAAACACGCTGTAAACCATGGTAAACCACTGATAGGAGCCACAACCGAGAGGGCGCCCTCGAGACGGAGCTGGAGCGAGATCTGAACGAAGGACAGAGAAAAGGGCCAAGGAAAAGCGGACAAGGCCGGGAGAGACATGATTAATGAAAATTAATTTATGACATGATTATGATTCAACATGATTCAACTATTATAAATTATATTAGGTGAATTTAGGTGATGAACTTGTCCGGAGAATTGGAGAGTTCCCCAATAGTATTTTTGTGTATTCCAGCAACTTCCAACGGCTGCCATAGCAGCACCCCTTAGGACCAGGACAAAAACCTCAGTGGCACCCCTTAATTTTTGAAATCTTTGCAGTGTCTTTGCAGAGCAATTTCTGGCTCTCTTGAACGTGCTCCAATTATTACTGGTTGAACATATTTTGGCTGGTATATTGGATGCCTGAACGTGTCATGTCGTGTCATTTCGCGTCCGGCGGCGATCTGCACATGTGCCGTGGTGGCATCCCTCAGTGTGTGTGAGGTTATTTTTGGTCCCCCGAAAACGTGTCAAAACGTGTCATTGTTTTGATTTCATCTTTCTTGCAAGATTGCCAGCACTGAACCGCGTGATTTCTGTGCAAGGGCGGTGTATTGTGGATGTGATTTTCTATGCATGCTAAGGGGTGCCGCTAAACATCATTTCAAAAACGGCACCCTTTAAGTTGCTGGATTTGTTTGTGAATTTGGTGTCGTGTTTTACATCTCGCACACTGGCAGGTCAAGCCGAGAGCGCTTCGAGGATGACTCGGTTCGAGAATGGAATGACTTTCTGTCGAAACGAGGCTTGGCAGGGAGGGACAAGTTCCAGTCATATCGTTTTCAAAAAAAAAGCGGCATATCGCAGCAACAAATGTTCCCGGTATGGACCAGTGTGGAATAGTTAAACAGATATATAAATATAATTATATAATAATTCTTAATTAATCTATATATTGTATAAGAACTATAGTAGAATCTAGTCCAGGTCTTGAGTCTTGAGTAGCTTTAGTTCCTGCGGCTCAGTCCATGTAGGACCCCGATCAGTCCAGAACGCCCCGGTCACCAACAATCCATACATCTCCGGATATGGTCACCATGGTCACCATGGTCCATCTTGATCCATACCCACATCAAAAATTACAAGAAATTACGAGTTGTACAACTTATGCTAAGCCACTTCAGATACCTTGTAAGTTTATGTAAGTGACTAATACCTTCTCAACAGGTCCGGATCAAACCTCTTGTACGTAACTCACTCGTTTGTGTCCGGATCATCCTTTTGGGTCAGAGGAATGGTGGGTTTTTGAACAGTGTTGCCGCAAGTCGTATGAAGTTGGACGTAGAGTAAGGCTACTAAGAGTTGCGACACGGTAAAGCACGTGTTTTTTCCCTGTTTCCGAAAAACATATCCATAAACATCCCAGACAGCAAACATCAACAAACAGTAAATCAAAATAATCAAAGCAAATCAATCCATCCCAAGTGGCTGCCATCCCTATTGCAGGCCGCCCAGTGAAAGAAAAGACCAGCGTCGCAACACGCGCCACACGGCGCAGTGAGAAGATCAAGGATCCCGTGGTGACCCATCGATCCATCGCCACCATGGAAGGTGAGATGTGACATCAACGGATTTCAACCATAACACTGGTGAGAAAACATGTTGGTATGGGGAAACATAAATTATTGAAAAAGAAGGCGCCATGGCAAATGGCAAATTAGGATCATTAGGGACCTAGCCAATCTAGGAGGGACTTAACTCACTGATAGTTCATTGGAAATGGAATTGCCCCCTTCTCTTGCCAAAAATCCTATGGTATAACATGGTATAACCGTATAAACCATTTAATGGTCGTGCGACTTAAGTGACTGTTCCATCACCTGTTCATTCGGGGATGATCATCAATCCATACGGGTTCATATATCCATTATACAAGGAATTCCTTTTAAAGGGACTCGACAAGTGAACTTACGGGATCTGGATTTGTCATGATTTGTCCTTAAAAATGACACAGAAACTGATGATCACATTGATCACGCACTGGATTTTGGGCTACCCTATTTTCGGAGATATTCGGACCAATCCCAGTAAACCCCCACATCAGGAAGATGCCACTTGACTGGAGACTAGCGTGACTAGCAACTCAACCCTTCAGCCCCGCCAACAGATTCTGAGCGCCAGGCGATGTGAGGGTGCCTGTCTTCCGCTCCAGAAGTGGTCGGTGCTACTATGTGTCGCCACTGACCAACCGGGAGGTGACCGTCCCATCGTAACAAAAAGAGGATGGGAGATATGGGAGCCGAGGGAGTTTGGTCCTGGTGACGCATTTTTCTGTAGTCCTGCCTGGTTTGGCTGCATTTGTGTCACAAATCATGTGCAGAGCTTGGGCTCCAAACTAGAACCATGATCACACAGAGTCCACACGAGACCAAAAACACATGGAGCATGATTTGGGCCGCCAAGCCACAGTTGAATTCTCCCGTTCCAAGCAGAGAACATTCTTGCTCACTTTCAATCGATAGCTACAGCACCAAGCGGCAAAGATTCAGCCGGAGGGTACTGGCTGCTAGCGCGCCATAGCTGGCCTTTGCAATGACGATTTCATCACTGAGACTTCGTTTCCGGCATCTAAGCAAGTTGGGATACTTATGGATATTTGATATTTGGATATATAATGATATATATACAATATCATATAGTGATATATAATTTAGGATAATAGATAATAATAGCTTATTAAACCATCTTAAGTATCTTCAAACTTAAGGAACATATTTGATACTTATGGATGATACTTAAACCATCTTAAACCTTCAACCTCTTCAACTCCAGCCGAGTCTTAGAAAGGGTCCAAAGTTATGGTCTTTAGAACGCTGAGCCATGGCCGTGCCGCCCGTGCCCTGTGCCCCGAGGTGCCACAAGATTCTTCAAGATTTGAAGGATGTATGTAACATGATGTCAAATAATAAATGGTCATAAAATGATGGTGGATTATCATAAATGATACAACATTCAACATATCATAAAATGATGATAAATTACATGTAAATGATGTAAATGGTCAAACTTCACAAGTCCATACAAATACATACAAATCCAATAGCGTCCACACAGCATCCACCTTTCAATGTCCGGCTGATCGGGTCTGGGATGATCTCAGGCATGCTGCCGACGCTTGGTTTCTCGTCACTTCGCGGTGGAGGCACATTTCGGCACGGATCTCAAAAACTTGGTTATCCTCTGGTAAATTAACATAGACCCTGAAAATCACCGTTTTATAGAGGAAACTAATCTTCCAACCCCTATCTACCAGGGTCTATGTTAATTTACTGGAGGGTAAATGATGTTAAATGGTGTTAAATGGATCCACATGGCACCGGTGGAATCCTTCAGATTTGATCAAGATTGTCGAAGAAATCTGCCCGCAACTCGATTTTTTGGGGCCCTGGAATCTCTGGAAGTGCAGGTAGGGGCAGGTTTTGGAATTCATCCCCGGATGCCATGATGTCAGGTAGCGCCCGCGGTTAAAGTGCTTGGCATCCCGGAGGCTTGGCAGTGAAGATCATGTGCAGGATTGTAAGTAGGTACGACGTACTGTATAATCACTGTATAGTCCACTGTAATGTTTCTCAAAAATCAACAAGTTCAATATTGGGATTGCATGCAATTGCGATAACCAATTTAGTCAAGGTTTGCCTTGAAGATCTATCAAAACACATCTCCAGGAAAGAGTCACAGTCACAAATCCCAGGTATCTCTCAGCAACTGAAAATTGAGCTCGAAGCGCACAGGGAATTGGTGGGTGCTGACGTTGCTGACGTTGCTTCGAATGTTTGACCATTTTGGACCTTTGGATCTGACCATTTCTTGGTATCTCTTGTGGAAGTTTAGTTCCACCGGGGCCACCTGGCACAGGCGGCTACCTGGAGCTCTTCATCAAGGGGATCTCCGCTTTTGGCGCCTCAGCAACGTGTTTCTGTCGCAAGGCAACAGAATTCCCCCATGACCAGTTTTGCATGTTTGTGTACCTACCAACAGACTACAGTATAAATTGTGATGAAATATTATGAATGGCTTATCAAATCGCCGTAAACTCTCCAAAAATCACTGTTGGCTGCGTGTTCGGACCAAAGTTTGGAATGACAGGCTACAGGCTCTGTCGCATTCTGTCGCCCTTGAGGCGGATGATGGTGACCTGGAAACCTTCAAGGAGGCTTCAATGATGGGTAGGGTGGTTGCCCCGTACATTGCCAGCCCACCATGGTCCACCATGGTCCACCATGGTCCACCATGGTCCACCTGGATCCCAGGTCCTGGCTCGGCTGCAAAGACGGCAGCAGCAGCGGAGCTCAGGGACGCGTCATGTGGCGACATAGTTCTAGCTGCTAGCGTTGCTAATATTGCTAATATTGCTAGCTAGCTCAGCTAACAAAGGATGCTTGATAGTTGCCATGTTTGGTCTGAAGTCTGAAGATTCTGATGCTTGGTGGGTTGGCTTTTTTCTGGCATCCAGGCAGAGTGACAATATCTGCCATGAATGATTGCGTTTGTAGATTGGTGAACACCACTCAGGCTTGGAAACGACTTTGGCAGATCAGGAGTTTTTCTTTGGTAATAAATGATATCCCAACGGTTTCTGTGCGCCCAACAAGGCAAGGACCTCTGACTGAAGCTTCTGAGGTACGGCAAGCCAGGGATTCAGTGGTGGATATTGTAGCATCTGGCATGAATCAATCGTAAAGGGCTGGGGTTGAGAGTAGGCCTAAGGTGAACCAGACCAGGAAGCAACAAGACATATATTATGATCCTCATTGATCCTCAAAAATACTATTGTCATCTTTTGTCGACTATTGTATCAAACATCAAAAGAAATTCTCTTGTTAAGCTCAGCTCCCCCATCGTGATCTGCCAGGTACAGCACCTGGCAAGGGGAGCCCAGCCGGGGACAGGGCCACTTTGAATTCAATTGGGGCGTTGAGCATTGCAACATTTACTTTACAATTTTCACACCAGTTTTTCAATGTTATTGTTCTATCCCTTGAGGACCAGGCGCTCATTAAGATGATTCGACATGATTTGACATCTCTGAGCAGCCACCATCAGCCACCCATAGTGTGTACAAACATAGTGTTAGCGAGCTAGGATAATGCTGTGATCAAGTGAATGATTCAGAAGTTGCGACCTCACCAAGGGGTTGATCCAGGGATCACAGCTATGAATACTTCCCACTGCAGCAGGTGCAAGGCTGTGAGTTCCGTTGACTCATGACATGCCGAGACCAAGCAGAAAATGTTCTATGTTGTCGTGGCCATGCTCCCCATGTCTTCAGGATGCTGAAACCATGAACTCAATAGACTCAATCGCAATTAGGGTCACAATTTGCAGCTACAGACAGGCAAGACCTTAGCTTCCAGTGAAACAAAGGGGATGAGAGGCACCCCGTGTTCCAGCATGTTCCAACATGTTCTAACCTGTTCCAACCATACTTGACACCCCATGATCCAAAAGAACTGATGGACGAACGTCCAAATTCCACAGCACCGAACCGAGCCATGGCTAGCCACATCACATGTCCGGAGTCTTAGCTTTTGGGGCGCCCAAAGAGGTTGAAGCCGTCACATTAATGGCCAAATTTGAGGGGAGTTGTGCATTTGGTGCTGGAGGCTGAAGGTGGATGTTTGGATAATTACATTTCCGTTGACTTCCATTGATCTTCATTTACCTGCAGTCCATGTGAAACATGTTTTTCGTTCAAGGAAACGCTTCCATCGACGGCGAGGTGGGACTGAATTGGGGGAGGCGGCTTCAAACTTCTCACGGTGGATCATCATGTTCGTATTTTCAGGAGCCCAAAATTGCTGCTTCTTTTCCTCTAATTTTGGACAAACCCATTTATAATATCTAATCATGTATCGGAGTCAATGTTCATTCGATGTTCATTGGTAAACAATATAAACAATGGCACAAGGAAAATATAGTAAAATATTCCCCCACTAAACATGATTAAACAGTGTTGAACATGATTGAAATTCCTCCGATTCCTTTTGGCGGCTCAACTGGCCCCACAGCCCCATGTCCCATTTCGCACAGGTGCCGTCCAGGCGGCAGATCTTCCCGTACCCTCCGGCGCGGCCGCCCCGGGCGCACCCGTTGCGAGAGCAGCGTATGGTGCCCCAAGGTTCGTTCGGACTACTTGTTTGATTGCAATTTGGAAGACGTCATGAAGTTATTTTTTATATGATATCATAAGCTAGACTACAGGATATTTGTGTTGTACATGATATAGAGATATTTCATTACATTACACATCATATATGTCATATGAGTCATATGAGTCTTGCGTATGATATACTTTGGCCATGAACAGAATGTGCCTAGCACATGGAGATATGCGCGATGGCTTGTTGTAGCGGTGCCTGCCATGCCGGAGTTGACATGGGAGTCAGCCACCTCTCCATTCCTGCTTTCATCGCCATCAGATTGCTTTGGCATACTGTAACACTGTAATGTATACTACATGTAACATGTATAAGATTAGATAGTATATACATACAATTAATATGTATAATATACAACATCTAGTATACCTTTACCTATTATATAATTGCTATATGCCTATTCATTTATATAAATATATATAATTATATAATATTATATATATATGTACATATAACCCTATATAATATACTCGCATGCATGTACACATATGTGCACATATATTTATATATATATATTCAACAACTCTGACCCAAAAGCATCCAAAACATTACCAACACATTACTCACTGTTTTTTCCGTTTTCCCATCTCATGGTCTCATCTCACAATTTCGCCACGCTTTGGGAGCATGGCTTTGCCCAGGTCGCCCAAGCCGAAGGATTCCAAGCCGAAGGATGACTCTCCAAGTCCCAAGGCTGATCCCAAGAAGGCCGGGCAACGGTGCCGTGTCGATGAGTGGCCCGGATTTTCCAAACATTTCCAAACCTTGACATGGCAACCACTACTTTACCAGATGTACCATGATTCAATAATGATGTAAAATAGTATTGGTCATGACTTGAAGTCAAAGCATGTCAGTATTGGTCTTCCAGCACCTCATCCTCATCTAACCTCAACCTCGCTCAACGCCAGGGAGGCCAGGATTCTCCTAGAGAGCTCCTTACACGGCAGGGGCGGCTCAATGTGTTGCTAGTCGCTGGTCGGCCACCACTGACTTGGGGATTTTGGACGAAGTTTCTGATCAGATGATCAACAGATGCATGGGTGGTGGATGCATACAGGGA